TCCTTCTGGTCGGCCATCTCACTAATCGCCAAAGGGTTGAAACAGGAACGCACACAACAGAGCACCACAGACAAACCACTTAACTCAGACTGACGCCAGCTCACTAACAGTCGCGGGAGACCCCCAGCTAACACCACCTAGCAGCACAACTCGTAACTACAAAGCATGCGCGCGCAACAGGTCGGTTCCAGTTATTTTTGGGTCCCCCCTCGTAATTCGGCACATATAAGATTCACATGTCTTGTCCTGATCCTCTCCACCCTAAAACCAAAATGAAGTTTGTATGCGTTTTTGAGAAGGGTAAAATTTTGCCTTTCAGATTCAAGAGAACTTGCACACATAACAAAAACTGTTTGGATGGTTGATATACTTACACAGCATTCTGGCATGAAATAATGTGTACACACTCACACATACAGATTAAACATCTATAAGTTTTTAGGAATTAAGGAAAACTATTAATAAAATACAGGAGGTTTACTAAGCAAATTTAAGTAACCGATAAATGGAAGTCAATATGCAAGTTGTGTGGCAAAACTGACGAAGTGTGGGTATGTTCTAAATGTGAATATGCAAGCAGTGACATGCAAAGCCTAACAAAGCAGAAGCAGCAGAAGACCCCTGCCCCTTCCTACTCTAATGTAAATCCCAAATAATCTAAATTCAACCATCAGGCAAAAACTGCAGGAGCTGGAAAAACTAATGTAATGTGTTTCGTTACTGAAGACGCTGTTCGGATTGTTAATTGGTTTATTTAACAACCTACAAGTCGTAACTACAATTGATTATAACACTGTTGCGGGTTTCACACTTTATAACCCTATTCACAATAATCTCTTCACTCTGTCCTCGGTAGTCTACATGTATTCGCAGTACGGGAGCTATGTAAGTGTCCCTGTATCACACACTCACTGTCTTTGGCGGCTGCTGTATTTCACGGTGCCACTCCTTAACACACACTAACTCGTTCCCTGCTGACTGGAGAACTCACTTCGGCGGCTGATACACTTTTAACTGACAACAACTGCACTCGGTGACAGCCACATTTCAACTCGCTGCGGCAGCGGTGTAGTTCCCTTATATACTCGCAGCGCCCGCCTGTTACGCAATGGGTACCGCTGTTGCCTGTTACCTGTTACCTGTGTCACAGCTGCATTGCGTGTTACGTCACCGCGGGGAGTAACAACAGCGCTACGATGCCGCGACGTACTGCTGCGGGAGGGGGAGGGGTCCTCCGTTGCGCAACATGTCACACTATTATATTATTTTCTTAGAAAGCATAAAAAATACGTATCACCTAATAACACCCGTGTGACAGAAATTTTGTTGAACAGTGCCTTGTGTCTACATAAATGGTTTTAAACAACTCTGAATGTCTTAGAAGTAAAGGGAAAGATGTATTTCAAAGTTGCTCTGCATGAAACATGAGAATTTTCATTACCATATAATGTAATAAGTATGCAAGAGAGTAATATACACTGCACTTCCAATCACTGGAACAGTGAGTAAATAAACACATTTCACCTGTACTGAAGACTTCAATCTTTGCATGTATGGAACAAATAAAACTCCTTCCTTTGTCTGCATCAGCCAAAATAATGTATAATTATCATACTGGGTATAAAACATGAAACAATCTTCATCCAACTACAATCCTGTAAAGCATGTATCCACGTTAGATTGCAGAACTTTCCTTCTGGCTTGAAAGATACTCATTACAAAGCAGTCTCATCTAATGTCTAATGTCATGGATCATCTGTGCACTGCAGTTGAGAATTGCACATTAAAATTTATACAGATGAAAGTGAAATGTTAACTTTGTACTTCTAAACAACAGTTATTAAGCCTGTATTCATATATGTATATTTGTATTTCAATTCTTCACTTACCTTTTAAAAATCCTTGCCTCTAACCTACATCACATAACTTACAAGGATATGTAGTAATACTCCATGTACTTGCACTTATATGAATCATATATCCCAGTAATCCAGCAATTAGGTTACATTTTCTGCCATTTCTTCTGAACTGGATGATGAGGTTTCATAATATGTAAACTGCATCATGTGAAAGCACCCATGGAAAACACTGTTTATGTATTTCACAAAATGAAGTGTATCTTTGTCTCTGAATGTTAAAGCAAGAGCATTGGGACTTGGTAGAAGAGTTAGTAACTGGAAAAAAAAAAGAAAAGAAAAAACGTTACGAGAACTTTTGAAAGCAAAGAGAAACAACACAGCCAGCAACAACAAAAACCAGTTTTTTTTTTTGTTTTTCCTAGAAAGACAGTCCTGGTATTCAAGATTTATGTAGAGCATTCTGTAAACACAATATCAGGCATTCACATACCTTCAATTTATGCTATTATCTTAGAATCAAGAGTCTAAACTGCATATTCATAAAACATCAGCTACAGTTATAAGTCTGTGTATTCAGATATTTAGGTTTTTTATATAATGGAAGGTATGACAGATATAAGAAGGGTTGATTAATAGCAAGTCTTCTAGAACAGTGGTTCTAAGCGGGGTCCATGCCATATTTCAGAGGGGCCACAAGCAAAAATAAGAAAAATGTGGGGCCTTGGGAATTGTTAAGGCCATAAAAATTTCACTTCTAAAATACAGTTATTAATATAAAAAATGTAAATGCCAAATGGTCAGTGCATATAATAGCACAATAATTCAATATCCTTGTTTTTATGTACCTTTCTTAGAAGGGACAGAACCTACTATACTTAAACTAAAACCTTAGATGTGGGGGTTCCAAGTACTGGTAAACAGGTACTCGCCTTCTCAGAGCAGGCAAATGCCTAACGAAATTGTTCACTGAAAAATTATCCTTTATTTTCCTAAGTATCTTTCATTCCTCTCATGAGTTCTACTGCTACCTTTTCAGTAAATTTCAAATGTTCTTCAGTTCAGTATACTGAGTGTTTGGAAGAAGACATATTTCTGCGCAAGTTCTATTATTGTGGCAATTTCTTGCTTTGGAGGTAAATTACAAACTCCAGCTACTATTTTTCGACAATTTAGCATTACATTTCATAATAACTTGAACTTCCATTACAAATAAATTATTAGCTTTCAATAGCATTTAAATAACCTCGCTCTATGAGAAGAAAAATGTGAATTGATTGATTAAAACAGTAGTATTTTTTGTTAGGAGCGTAATTATATATTGCAAATGAATAAAACATCATATGAGTAAAAATTCTATTATAAATAAAGATTTAATTAATAAACCCTTTTTATTATTAATAGTCCTTATAAACAAACAGCTCAAGTTATAAATAAAAGTGCAGCTGAAGTATGAGGGTGAGTCAAATGAAAACCTTAAATGTGTAATAAAAAATCGAAATTTCGTGCCATTATCCTGTAAGTTGGTAAGCATGCTACAAACAGCGTGCAGAATGGCGTGTAGGTTGCAGCACCAGTATAAGATGGCTGTCCAACTTCAGACTTGCACCAGGGAAGAACAGCGTTCTGTTATTTGGTTTTTGTGTAGTGAAGGTGTGAAACCTATTGAAATTTATCAAAGAATGAAGTATCAGTATGGTGATGCATGTTTGTCACAGCAGCAAGTGTACGAATGGAGCAGGAAGTTTGCAAATGGTGTGACTTCAGTGGAAGATGCTCCTCATCCGGGTCAGGCACATCGAGTTGTGACTCCAGAGAACACTGCAGCAGTTGAAGCCATAGTGAGGGAAAACCGCCAAGTAACATTGAATGAAATTGCAGCAAGTTTAAACATTAGTCATGGTTCAGCACACCACATTGTGCACAATGTGCTCCAGTTTCACAAAGTGTCTGCAAGATGGGTGCCATGGCAGCTGACTCCTGAATTGAAAGACCGACGTATTGATGCTTGTGAAGAACTTCTGCGGCGCTTTGAATGAAAAGATGATCACTTCCTTGCAAGAATCGATACTGGGGACAAAACCTGGGTTCACTTCCACCAACCAGAAACGAAGAGAGCGAGCAAGGAATGGCACCATTCCTCATCTCCAAAAGCGAAGAAGTTTCAAACATAACCATCAGCAGGGAAGGTTATGCCAACTCTTTTGGGACAAAAAATGCGTCATCTTGGAGCACTACATGCCTAGAGGGACCACTGTCACCAGTGCATCATACTCAGATCTCCTAAAAAATCATCTTCGGCCTGCAATCAAATCAAAGCAACGTGGATTGCTGTCCACAGGTATCCTTTTGCAACATGACAATGCAAGGCCCCATACTGCCCGTACAACAGTTGCAACAATCAATGACCTGCATTTTGAGTGTCTTCCTCATCCGGCATACTCACCAGACCTTGCCCCAAGTGATTTCCATATGTTTGGACCACTCAAAGAAGCAATGGGAGGAAAGACGTTCAGTTCAGATGAAGAGGTACGCCATGTGGTGCATGAGTGGTTGCGCGGACTACCAAAAGAATTTTTTTCTAAAGGAATTCATGCACTTCGTAAGCACTGGAGGACTTGCATTGAGCGTGGGGGATATTCTGATAAAAGTGATACAGCTTTGTACCACTTGTGCACAATAAATAATTCATTCATTCATTCATCAGTAATCTGTCAAGACGACAGGTCCACAGTCTCTTCCAAAACAGTTCCTCCACTTGAAGAAAGCAGTCTTCTGGGATTTCTTATACTTTTTCTTCTACCCTGAAGATGGGGGCGATACGTTCCTCCGAAACGTCGGTTAACACCACATATACACAGTGCCAAATCCCAGAAGACTGCTTTCTTCATAGTCACTGCCGTGAAAGCCTCAAATCTTACACAGTTCCTCCACTTGATGCGATCTAGAGCTTTCTCCTTAAAATGAAAATATCCTCTTCTGTCCCCAAGGTCATCCAGCATCTTCTTACGTCTTCTTCCTCGTCTTCTGGTCACTTCTATCCGCCCCTCTATCTTTCCTTCAAT